CGCATATTTAAGATGGTTTTCTTAGTGAATTTGAATTCAAATTATGAAAATTGATCCCTGAAGAATTAAAAATTTGCTACACAACATTCGTACTGGCATTTTTTTTTCTTGGTTTGAGAATACAGATTATTTTAAAAAAGAAAATTAATACAACGAACTACAGTAAATGCTTTTATGAGTCATATTTAAACCATAGTGCTTTTTAAACTATTTATGTTATAAAGCATAATTTTTGGAAAAAAACTCAATAGTTTAAACAAGCATTCTAACCCATTGGCCTCTTCTGAAACAACACCATTTATAGATATTATTCAACAAAAGAAAAAATATGACGGAGTTCTTAGGGTAGGGAAGATCACATAGACCTAACTGGTATCTACGAAACAAAAGTTCAGATAGAATTTCTAAGTCATTGATTAGGCCTTCCAGCAGAGCAAATGTGCCCAATCTGTGGACAGGCACTGATCACTTCTATGATAAATGAGAGGATTTTATGAAATCAATGACAAATATTGGGAAAAAAACAGACTCTAACTAAAATAACTGTCCAAGTGGAAGAAATTATCCGAAATAAATCAAAAATGACTCCTGAAGTCAGAAATATATGTATTCTATTATTGTCACTTGTGGAATTGATTAAATTTTAATGCGTGCATAATACAATGTGCTGAATTCTGTGTGCCATCCTGTTTCCTCATATCAGATTTACCACAGGAATATATGGACTACTTTTGTAAGGACCTGTATTAGAATTTGATAAATTGTCTTAAATATCAGCAGATTATAGAGTCAGCTGATTAAATGTGTATTGTTAATTTGTGAGCTTATGAAGGGTTCTGACAATCCACACAAGTCACACTGTTATCTTTGTCATGGAGTTTCAAATTACGACTTACATTTAAATTGATTAAATAAAATTGACCTCTCCTGTGACACATAGCAATACACATCTTTGGAGGGGAGTATCGTAATAGTGGAATATTTTCTCATAATATTTCAGGATTTAAAAAATTTTTTGAGGGTGGAAGTAATGACACTTGCAGTTGTTTGAATTGTTCTTATTTTTCATTGGATTTTATTAAGTAATAGTGAAGTATGGATTTTGGAAATGATGGATATGTTTCATTTCACAATTATCTACCATAGTGAAGGAACAATGGTTACCATCAAAGATTATCAGAATAACAAACAAAGCAGGAATGGTCATGATTGACAGTGTAATTAAATGGCAATTATAAGGCAATTTGAAAAATTTCAGTCTTGAACGTAATATATGTTAATGGATATGTAACTTTAAAGACGTGAGTAAAATATGGCCAAGGAACTTTTAGGTGCACAAGAAAAAGTCCTGATAACTTATAAAAATACAATGGGTCTCTTTTGTTGTAAAAATCAAACAATTCTTCTCTAATGTATCAAATTTACATTGCAATTGAAAGTTAGGTTATTTAAATTTATATTTACTAATCATTAACTACTGGGCCTTGCATCTCCAAAGTCTAGCGTCTAAGCTTTGTCTAAATTATAAATATTAAGTCAGGTGGGATTTACTAAAATCAAATATATGTAGTCAAGTAAGCACTTTAAAGGAAAATAAATAATTGTGAAAATAATATTGTGAAAAGACCTTCAGTGTCAGATCTGGTCTTTGATCACGTTAAACTGTTTCCAGCAAAATGCGTTCCTTTCATCGGAAACTGACATTATTAGGATTTTAGCTGTTGCACACTTTGTTTCATGTTTCTGATATAATCTTGGTATAATAAATTTAGAAAAATTAAAAAAAATACAAATTAAAATGGGAATTTTCATATATTTAAAAATGTAAGGATCAGATGTAGGTTGTGAATGAAGTGAAAGTGTTGAGGACATATAGCAACATAGAATTAGTGCTGGATAAAAGCTGGATATATATGATGGAGATGAATGACAGCTAACATGGGATAATCAAATGGGAGATAATTCCTGTCCTTAAACACTGACCATGGAATTATTATGGAATTAAAAATGTCATATACTTTCTTGATCTGTTTTAATGCCCCTGCATGTGCTTTAAAAAGAGAGTAAATATCAGAAAGATATTTTAAAATGGCAGGTGTGGAATGTCTCTTTCCACCAATAAAACTTAAAAAAAGCAGCATGCGTTCAAAAAGAAAGAAAAAAGATGGAAACTCAAACTTGATGAACATGTTCATGAGACCCACGTTAAGTGATGTGCCCCAGAAGATTATCAAGTGTGCACTGCCAACTGTGTCTGTACCTAAACGTCTGTCCACACGCCCCCACCACACACGCTTACGACGGCTCGGAGTGGGGGCACCTGTCCGACCCAAGTATCACCGTCTAGGTTCAGGTCTACTTGCTCCTGTTTGCTTGGACAGCCAGATCTTAACTGACATGCTGGTAGGGTTTTTATATTTATGGTAACATCTAATGATACTCCATTCTTCTTTTAGTGCATTTCATGCAGTGATTGGCAATAGTTTACAAACATTCTTTTCCATAATCTTTGTTTATGTTATTGCTAATACATGTAGGTGTCATCAGACATATATACAACTGTCCCATTTTGATTTCCAAATTGAAGAAACATTTGCATTTTATTGTATGTGTCTTTTTTCTAGAATTCTCTTTTCATGGCATCAACTGAAGGTCAAAATTAAGCCATACTAGCAATCATAAGTGGAATTGGCTTTATGCAACCAAAGGTGTTAGCTTGTTGATGCACCTGCAAAAGAAAATAGAACATATCAATTTCTTTTGAAAATGGTCACATTGAATAACTTGAAAATAAAATTGCATCGAAAATGTCTACGATTAATTCTATTACAAAATACAGATACTGTGTTTATTCTAACAAAGAAAAAGTGGGGACATTACTGTTAGTTGCTGGAGATTAATCTCTAAATAGTGATGCATCAAAATACATGAATCATCGGTTTTGGCAGGAAAATCAATTAAAATAGAAAATAAACAAAGCAGTAAAATAATCATGAAACTACTTAAATGGGCAAACAAGAAGGTTAGAAACGTTGACTTTGAAAGTTCAGTGTTTAGCCTTACAATTTAACAACCAGTAAATTTTATCGTAAATATTGAAGAGTCAAGCTCCATTACTGGGTTTCATAGTATATTTATACACATACCATGTCTGATCGTACATGTAACTAGTAGCTAAGGTGCAATCACTGAAAATGTTATGTAAGCTAAAAATATTACCAAGCAATGCTTAGATATTGATGAGTAGAATAGTAATAAAATAAATCCTTCCTAGCTCTTCAACTGACTGAAAAGAGATTAATTAATTATTTAACAATATGAACAGGCTTCCATGTTTGTTTACCTTTGACGGAATCTGGTTAATTTGGACTGATCAATTTGGACCATGAGATAAAGCCCCACACCCATGTGATTTTTTTGTTTTCGATGTTTAATTTTATATTTAATTTAAAAGAACTTTTAAAAAATTGCTTTCATGTTTGATGCCATTGAAGCTTTTCAGACTTTTTTGTTTTTGTTTTCAAGGGGAGTGTCAGTAGTTCAATAGTTGTGAACAGTTTTGTAAGTTGTACTATTCAAATTAATAGTATCCCTGAAAATCTTGATAGTACATGTATGTTTTTTGTGTATGTTAAAAACTCTTGAAAAACCTGTATAGTTATTATTATACAATCTGTATAGTTAGAATACTTTTGTCAGGTTAGCTTCCATGCCTTTTCCTGGGATTTCTTAATTAATGCATAGTTACCAAGATTGCATAAAGAATTTTACAACATAAAAACCAGTATCTAATGGGAAATCGATGCAGTAGACTGCATCCTATAACCATTAAAATATCAATTCATTGTCATTGATGTGCACTTAAACTTAAGATTTCACTTGCCATGATTTTTTATGTCCTTATCCAATAATCAATACAGATATGATGCAATAAAATTGGAATTGCAATTGAATGCAGCAACAATATTGAGATATTTTATGTACAAAGTAACAAAAGCAGTTCCTGCATCGTTGATTTGTGTTCACATATTGTTAGCAGGGTGTTTTCAATGATTCAGTCAAATTATACTCAGAATAAAGTGATTACAACGTTTACTTCCAATTTCATAAAACTGTGACAGCTAGGAAATTGCCATATATGAGTTATAACTGGGTATTACCATGAATATGGGAGTGCAATATTGGACATTTATGACACCATCTAAAATAAATATCCAGTGATGTATGTATTGGAAAACACAAAGTATATTTCTGAACAAAAATTATGACACTATCATTTTTTTTTTAACTTTTTTTTTTTTAAATTTAATTACTTAAAAGTAGCTGGGAAGTCCACAAGGGTTATATCTTTTAATTGCCCAAGTACCACATGGGTGAATTTTTCTTTTGTGAAATTTTCTGATTCTAATTTGTGAAAAAGCTTGAGAATAGAGATGTTTAATATCAGTGGGTTAAGATCAGATTAAATGTGGCCATTATCTGAGAATGGGGTAATGTAACAATTCATGCAGATCCCACGGGCAAACCTTTGATGCCAAAGAAATAAAAGGGAAAGTAAATAAGTCGAATTAAATCTTTAATAACCATTACACCTGTTCAGTCAAAAGTTGAAATAATTTAATTTCTGGAGGACATTCATACACGAATGAGCTTAGATACGACACAAGAAGTTTTCCGTGGAATATAATTTTCAAATTGATATTTTTTAACCAAAGTGTTAATTTAACTAAAGAAAGTCTTTAAAATGGTGAAAATTGTGAGAAGACAGTATTCCCATCATAGGAGTTATCCACTAAATATTATTTTAATGAGAAGCCATCAATGGAGACTAGATTTTTTACAGCCCATAGGATTTAGTAAAAAGCTGAGATATTTCTTAGCTACACGTCACCCTGCCAAACTGAGGGTACATTGAGAGATGCATATAGAAATGTAATCTTGAAGATGCTGTAATGATGAAACAGATTGAAGATCTCATTGCTAACATTTTCTTTTTTCAGTCATTGTTGGATACCCAAAGAGCCAAGGGTGCTGTCATTGAGGCTGACCTTCCCGAGGACAGGTCATCAGTAAGGTCAGGGTCACTGAAGCCAAAACAACCATACAAGAAGCATGGAAAAGAAAGAGGTAACCACCACTGATTGTCTCACCCCATAGCTGGGAGGGTAAAACATTTTTATGGCAACCAAGGGTTATGTACTCATATGTGTTTCATGTTTTCATGACGTTGCAAATTCTAAGTGCATTATCTTAAGGTAAAATAAGGTTTACTTACAAAAATACCGCTGAAGATGATACCTTGAAACTTTTAGTACTTTGTAGCATGACCCCTGGCTTTTAGGACAGCTTGGTATAGTTCCGTAGAGACTCTGTATATAGCCAGGAGTCAACGAATTCCAGATCCGCAAGACGGCATTTATTCTTGCTTGGACTTAATCTGGTGTAGCTCTCGTCCAAGTTTGATTTTTATCATTCTCCAGACATTTTCTATAACATTATAATCTGGAGATTGCGATGGTAGGTCTAAACACGGAATATTATTTTCATTTTTCCAATTTTTAGCCCGTTCAGACATGTGAAATATTTGCAGTAATGCAACTATGCCATAATTTTTCAATAAAAGCGGGAATAAAAACATGAAACACTTATTGCACTGCACTGTATATTGAAATAAATTGCCAATACTGTATATCAAAATCAGTATGGCCCTCCTTTGAGATTTGCTTTTAAATTAACCATGTTTACTGTGTAGTGAGCAAATAAATTGTGCAGTATTTCCACAGATTTTTCTTATAAGTTTCATTACATAGTAAAAAGCAAATTTTATATCAGTGATGATTATTCTGTTTTTAGTTCGGTCAACATCCTCCTCCCCAGCCTTTGAGGATAAGGAGTATATTGGTGGGGTTCCTGTAGTTTCCTTCAGAGATGGATCAGGGTCCCCAAGTTCTGTCCCCCAACTCCCCCACATTTCAGGAGCAGTTCCTCTGACCCCCATAGGAGAGACCAGCAGGGAACAGACCACAGTAGTACCACTGCCACCAATAGGAAAAGGTGACTTATCCCCCCTTTGGTATTCATGGTTTATCCTTTTATTCTCTTGGCATGCATGTATTCCTTTATGTTCCAATATCTATCACAGAATATATCTTTATTGCTTAAAGCACAGAGGAATGTACATATAGTTGCTTTCTGCTGTATATAATGTATTTTTTATTCATGAATTATTTTTATGATTAATTTATAAAGTCTTTATATATAATATTCAGAGAATTGATTGTGAGAAGACATGCATGCCTTGATCTCTGACCTTGGTGAAGGGAGATAACTTGGTGGAGGTTAAAATGCCTGTTTTAATATAATTACATTGATTTTCTGTTATTGCCCCTGTCTCTTTAATGTTCCCTAAACAAACTGAATTGTCCTCAATGGTCCCTAAACAAACTGAATTGTCCTCAATGGTCCCTGAACAAACTGAATTGTCCTCATTGGTCCCTAAACAATATGAATTGTCCTTAATGGTCCCTAAACAAACTGAATTGTCCTCAATGGTCCCTAAACAAACAGAATTGTCCTCAGTGGTCCCTATACAAACTGAATGTCCACAGTGGTCCCTAAACAAACTGAATTGTTCATTGTGGTCCCAATACGAACTGAATTGTCCACAGTGGTCCCTAAACAAATTGAATTGTCCACAGTGGTCCCTAAACAAATTGAATTGTCCACATTGGACCCTAAACAAACTGAATTATCCTCAATGGCCCCCTAAACAAACTGAATTGTCTTCAATGGTCCCTAAACAAACTGAATTATCCTCAATGGTCCCTAAACAAACTGAATTGTCCTCAATGTTCCCTAAATAAACTGAATTATTCTCGGTGGTTCCTAAACAAACTGAATTGTCCTCGATGTTCCCTAAACAATCTGAATTGTGCACAGTGGTCCCTAAACAAATTGAATTGTCCACAGTGGTCCCTAAACAAACTGAATTGTCCTCAATGGTCCCTAAACTATCTGAATTGTCCTTAAAATTAAAAGATTCTAACTAAGGTTTATGTTAACATAGAAGAATTTAGAATTAATTGACAGACAAGGAATTGAAGATGTTTACCCAGAAATAGTTAATTGTTTTGAAACTTTCTGTCTGCCGATAAATTTATTATTATTTTTTTTTGTATGTGTATTGAAAATTCCATTTGATTATAAAAGTGCCAGCTATAGAAGCTAGGTACATATTGTATACTAATAGGAACTTTAAATATTGATAAAAGATCTTTATTAGATTTGTCCTTGTCTGCAAATCCATTCCAAAAGTTGACCTTAAAATAAAAGAATTTACAGAACAAGAATTGTATCAATTAATATCATTTATGGTGTATTGACGTAAAGTTAAAGACGTATTTTATGGAACATTTATTTTACTTGTAACAGAGAAATTAGGTCAACGTTTAGAAGGAAAAGAAGAACTGCATAGAAAATTTATTTCTAACTAAGATTAACATTTACAATACACGGAAAAAAAACCCATGCATTCTTTATTTTATCTATGAATTAAGGCTAAATAAATTTGAAATACCCCTGTGGTCTGTGGAATCAAAACAGCTATTATTACATACATGTTTGTACATGTAATTTATGACATACAGTAAATGATTCAAGTTTGTTATGGTATTAAGTCCTGCAAAACAAAAACAAAAAACAGAAAGAAAAAAATAATCTTTTTTGGTTAATTTTTTTTAGATAAAACAAAGAGCAAGATACACATTCCATTAGGAAGTATGTCTGTCCTGTATCTTTCATAAATCCCTGACCCAAATTGTCTAACATGTCTTTGAGATGTAATAGCTTTGTTTATGTCCTATCTGTAAACTTCTATTGTTAATAAATAAACACAGAACAAATATATCTGATCCCCACTGTTTGTTATCCATTTGTTTATTATCCCCAATCCTATAATTAAATCTGGGTGTGTTTTTAATTAAACCTATGTGTTATGATTTGAAGAATTTGATCACAGGTCAAGAATCTGATATGTCAACAGGTTTGGTCTTTACGAATGGAATCTAACAACCTGCACAAGGTGATACAAGTTTATTTAGCTCTTTAAATTGATAAATATAATAGTCCTTGGACCTGGTGTAGATTTTAATTGTGTAATTAAATTTGAAAATTAGAATGAAAATTGTGCTCAAAAATAAAGAAATATAAGAGGTATTGTAAAATTATAGTTAATGCAAGTATTTGAAGTTACCCGGTACTTTGTTCTTTGGCCTTAGAAAGTTTACCAAAAGAAAAATCATTGAAAATCTACCATTTTGGAATTACCCGTAATGCAATGATAAATAAAGTTATCATTTAGATAAAAGTTTCTCTGTGGATTAATTCATGAATGGTTCATTCTGATAATTAGTTTGTGAGTAGTTCATACTTGTATCACCAGAGCTGCGTTTTGTGTACCATAGAGTATTGCAGTTTGTACTAATATGGCTGACAATAGATTCTGTGTATACTAGGCATACCATCCCTGAACATTCAACCTCCAACCCCACAAAATACAACTCTAGACACTTATGATGCAACAGGGAAAACAAAAGAGAATCTCAAGTCTGTTAGTGAAGGTAAAGCTGACTCGTATTATATTTTGTGTGCTGGGGACCAGTCAAGCATCTGTGTATATCCACCATTTTGTATACAATTTTATTCTAGTTTTTTGATGTATTTAAACTAAAAACCAAAAATCTGAATGTAATCAGTTTCATTATATTTTGCACGTGGTATGATTGGTATTGAGATGATATGAGTGAACTTTCAACACTTATTTTTTGAAATAAATCTGTAAACTGATTAAGGGACTTCTACCATAATTTTAAAAATTTGACATACAAATATATAAATGCTTTTGTCATTACTTTAATGTGAACAGCCACAATTTGTATTGAGAAATCATTAATTGGCAATTTCAACAAAGGATTTTTTTAAACGTTATAACCACTTTGATTTTTTCTTAATCAAAGATAGCTGCCGAACTGTAGCTCTCTGCGAGCGACAAAAAAGCGGCGGCGTAAATCAAAGGTTTTTACAACACTTAATAGATCTGTTGCTCTCTGCTTTGTCTGTCCGAATTTTCTCAAGCAGAGAGCAACAGCTCTGCAGCTAAATCAAAGAATGCTATCAGGCATACACATTTACATTTTTAGCTCACCTCAACGAAGTTGGGGGAGCTTATGTAATACCATCGGTGTCGGCGTCCCAGGTTAAGGTTTTTGGAGCAGTTTTCTTTTCAAGTACTTCTATGGCCTATATTAGTCAGAGATGCATGGAGGATGCTTCTAGTGTGTTTCATTGTACCAGTCAAGGTTTCAGATGCTGCAATTTCAGCTAAAGAATGACCAGGTTAATGTTTTTGGAGCAGGTTAAAGTTTTTGGAGCAGGTTAAAGTTTTTGGAGCAGGTCTCATTTCCAAGTAACTATAAGCCCTATATTGACCAAACTTGCATGGATGATACATCTAAGGATGCACACTACTGAACTTGCTTCGGATGCTGGATCTGACCTACATTTTCCGGATGAGTGACTAGGTTAAGGTTTTTGGAGTAGATCTCATTTCCAAGTAACTATAAGCCCTATATTGACCAAACTTGCATGGATGATACATTTAAGGATGCACACTACTGGACTTGCTTCGGATGGTGGATCTGACCTATATTTTCTGGATGAGTGACCAGGTTAAAGTTTTTGGAGCAGATCCCATTTCCAAGTAACTAAAAGCCCTATATTGACCAAACTTGCATGGATGATACATTTAAGGATGCACACTACTGAACTTGCTTCAGATGCTGAACCTGACATATATTTTCTGGATGAGTGACCAGGTTAAAGTTTTTGGAGCAGATGTCATTTCCAAGTAACTATAAACCCTATATTGACCAAACTTGCATGGATGATACATCTAAGGATTCACACTACTGGACTTGCTTCAGATGCTGGATCTGACCTATATTTTCCGGATGAGTGACCAGATTAAAGTTTTTGGAGCAGATCTCATTTCCAAGTAACTATAAGGCCTATCTGAACCAAACTTGCTTCGGATGCTGGATTCGACTTACATTTTCTGAATGAGTGTCTAGTTTTAAGTTTTCAGATAAGTCCATTCCCAAGTAACTGCAAGCCCTATCAGACCAAAATTGCATAAATGTTGCATCTAGGGATGCACACTCCTAGATTATAAGTTTAGTGTGGGACTTTGCCTTACTTAAAGACAACATTCGTTGAGGTGAGCTTTGTAATCTCTGATTACCTATGTTTATCTATTTTAGATACTTTTTTAAATGATGAAGATACCTGTGTTTTTGTAAATAAATTGCAAAGTCACTTTTACAGCTTCATAAATAATAATAGTTTATTTATTTTTGATTAATTTTGATATTTTCCCTGTGTAACATTCATGCACAATGTTTTTTTTTATTTTTTGGATAAAGGAGAATGTCCAAAAAACAAAAAAACAAAACAAAAAAAAAAATCAATTTTTAAACTGAAATGACAATGTTGTATATAATATTCAAGAATAAATTTGAATTTCAAGCTGTAATATTAAGAAATTTACAATTCCTCTTTTTTAATATTTTCTAATTAGCATTGCAAAAATGATGACCTTTGAGATATTATTAAGAGTGGAATAGATTATGGAGACTTCAGAATCCCAGTTTTTTGTTTTGCCTTTTTGATTGGAGTTGTGCAAATCATGTTAGATATAATGTGCATCACTATGATATCATTGATAAGGGTACCACCATTATAATTTTTAAGTATGCATATTGTGGCATTCAACTTTCTGAACTTAAAATTAAAGAACACAATAATTTATCAGTGCTGTAATTTTCAAAGTATCTTTTAATTTTTATCTCTGACCAAAAGAGAAAGGGATTCTTGACAAAAAAATCAAAAGTTTTATTTTTATGATAGAAGTCCTTGGAAAATTGATAAATTTGGTATTATAGCTCTATTGGTTATTGAGAATTGGAGGATTATATGATATATTCCCTATAAATATTTTACTGGCTTAATCTTTGTTTGAAAAGTGCACATTTGTATTCAGCACAAACTTTTGCTTGTTTTCACAATTACCCGGTATATATATGTTATTCACAATTTGAATATTTTAGTGTTTGTTTATTAATTCTGCTTTCCTTTCTTATTTATTGGTAGCATATTCTTTTCAGCTCACTTGAGCAAGATTCAGTGAGTTTTTCTGATCAAAGTTTGTCCAAAATCTGGCAGTGCATGGTTTTAATTTGAAAACTGTATACATTTGTGTCTTCAACTTCTTACTTTTTAGTTGTTGGATGGGATACTTTAAATCAGACTAGTTCAAAACTTCCTGCATGTTTCATAAATAAGATCTTCAATGAAATTGAATCCTTGACAAAATTTTATTCAAGAATCTCACACAGGAAATTAATTTTCATTGATTATTAGCAATATGAAAATGAAATAATATTATCAAAACAATCACTTTTGGTATAAAATTGTGAAATTTTAACCCCATGAAAATCTGCAATTCAACAGTACATGTTTCATACTGTATTTATTTTTCAGTGCAAGTGTAAAGCCTTGCATTATCTTTATCCTCCAATCTTTTTACTTCCATATCTGTGATAACAATATTAATTTTAAAATTAGATAATAGTATAAAACTGTTAAAAGTAGGAAATAAATAAAATGGCATAACTGTTTATAATCAAAGGAGTTGGTATTTGATTGATTTTGAATGTTTTAGTTGACACAGAAGAGGAATGGGGTACTCACGTTTCCCAGGCAGCAGATCACACCTCTGTTAGGGGGGATGTGGATGCTGAGTCTAAGAAAGACAAGGGTAAGAAGGCTGTCTGTAGACATCATTGTCTCTGCTTTGTCTTCTTTGCCTTCATCAGTTTGTTCATACATCAAATGTCAATGCCATATGGGTTTTTTTAAATGTGTGTAATGTATTCACTTTTCTTATTCATGGTATTACAGCGTTTATTCATATGTTCATCTGTATGTCTGTGGTATTGTCTTATTATGATATGTTATATGTATATCTGTGGTTTTGTGTTATTATTAGGGATGTCAACGTATAGTCGACTATTCGACCATCAGTCGAATGGACCGACGATCGAATAATGAAACGACATTCGAATAAATAAATTTCAATAAAGAGTGATAAAGAGATGGAATTCTCATCCTAAAATTGAGAAACCGTCCGTCTTTCCTCAGACACAGTCAATAAGATAATTTTCCTCATTAAAAACTGCTGGTTTTATATGTAGAAAGTACAGTAATTAGAAATGCTTCACTTCCGCGAGTATTATTTGTCAATTAATGTGTTGTTTTTGTAAAAAAAAATTATCTCGTTATACTGCGCTTTCCTTGTAAAATTATTAATTGGACTTGATCTCATACCATGTACCCATTATAGCCGTGACATGTTTTGACACTAAGATAATTATTATAAAATTAATATTCTTTTATATATTTCAAAGACATTTTGATAGTTGGTACAAAAAGTATATTCAAATACATTATCAAAGATTCATCGTGTGTGTCCCCCCATCATTTTAATAAGCTTGAAAAAATATATCGTACTGTCATTTTTATGCTTCCTAAAAAAAACCGACTTTACAGATCGATAGATCGATTTATGAACATGATTGACGGGGAAATCATACATTTTAGGTCCATGTAAACATCTGTGTGTAACATTTGAGGTAACTTTTTAATAAATTTAAGAAAAGGGGACTTCGGGTTAAATATGTCATGTACCAGTGAAGTTTGAAATAAAATTTTAGTTTCCGAAAAAAGTTTCGAATATATTCGACTATCGTTCAAATAATGCAATCGAATATTCGACTACAGAAAATAAATATTTTGACATCCCTAGTTATTATGATATATTATAGCATTGTGGTGTTTATTTTTAGATTCATCTGTATGTCTGTGGCGTTGTGGTGTTTATTTTTATATTCATCTGTATGTCTGTGGCGTTGTGATGTTTATTTTTATATTCATCTGTATGTCTGTGGTGTTGTGGTGTTTATATAATTTTTATATTCATCTGTATGTCTGTGGTGTCACAGCTCTGGACGTGGTTAGCCAACATGGCATAACTATAGCATCTTTGTTGCTTATGCAAATTATATATATACATGTACATGCTCCCTTGTTGGTTATCATCCCCATACAAACCAAAATAGACACTTTTTCCATCAATAACAGCTTATGCATGTCCTTAACTTGTGTTCATCAAACCATCTGACTTGAGTTAATCTCTAACAATATTTTTCTGAAATGCTTTTCTGTGACCATAACTGTTTATTAATTAGGTAAAGTAAAACACACTTATAACGAAGTGCCAGAGATGGACAATTTTACGTTGTTTTAAATGTAATTGTTATTTCCATTAGGTTCACAATATAATTTAAAGCCACGGGGATTGAAAATCACTTTGCTGTAAGCGTCAACTCATTATAAGTGTGTTTTACTATGTTCTTTTTGTTTTGTAGGTGAAGTATCATCACATGCCAAGGGTTCAACCGACAGTGTTGGTACTGGTGTCCAATCATTGAAGGAGAGCAAACTCAACCGAACACACTGGAAAGGCAGTCAGACTAGTGTCAAGAGCTCCAAAAAAGGATGTAAGTCATTGATTAGTCACAGGAAAACTCTGATTTATTTCAGGTTGTTTACAATGCATTGCATGATTGTGTTTACATGTGTGTTCATTTTATAATGAGTAATACAAATGGCATTTCAGCACAAACACAGGATAAACTACAAAGTGATGAATTATCAAGTGCAAATACTAGATCTCTGGAAATTGCTTGTAAAACAATAGAGAGGTTAAGCATGCTTCAGAATTACAATCAAACACCCTCAGGTACTCAGTCGCATGAGAGTTCTACTCGAACACTGCCTTCACAAAGAAGTAGCATTCAGAGCAACTTGTGGGAAACAGAATGTAAAAGTTTGATTAGAGATCATGTGTAGATTTAATTAGAGGGTAGAACATAAAATATTGATTATTTCTTTCATTTTTATTTCTTTTATATTAGTCTCCACATCATGAATTAATTAAGTTTTTGTTTGTTTCTTTTTCCTTTCTTCATTATTTTTTTGTGTTGTGGTATAAGATTTATTGATTAAGACAGAATTTTATTAAAATGGTAGCATCACATAGCAGGGATAATGAAAGTGAGAGTTCTATACATCAAGGTATTGTTACTGTAAGGTATTGGGAAAAAGAAATAGGCATTAATTTTTACAGCCACTCGATTGAAACAAAGGGTCACAGAAAATAATACAATTAATAAGCTACACACTTCTAGAATTAATGGTGGCAGATTAAAATATATCAAGTATACAGCATAAAAATTACAATTTAATTGCTTAATTGAGTGTGGAAAATTTTATTCATCAATTAGTTTATATGTGATTTGCAGTGATGATTTGTGTTAGTGGTGTAAAATCAAGTAACTTTGTATTATAATATTTACGATACATAAGAAGTTAATTTATGTGAAAGGGAGGTTATACTTATGCCTTGCATGTGAAATTAAGGCTTTTTTGAGTTACTTTCAGAAGTTTTTCCAGAATTTAAAAGATTGCCAGCTAATATCAGCTTAAATGTTCTACATATGATAATTTAAATAAATATTTTTGAATTTTTTATGTTCAAAATTTTGCTTTGCATTGTTCTATTGATTTTGTTTTAAAGCTTTTTCACTTTTGTTTGTGCTTTAGCTGGTAGTATAGATGATGGATCTGTGAAAGGCAGTGTTATCCTAGGTCCAGAAGGGGAGATAATTAATGTTGGAGGAACAATTAAACCACACCTTAGGGATATTGATATGGTTCATGATGCCAACAAAGTCTTTGGAAAAGGTATTCTCAGTGAAATGTATTTAATTAGGATATCTCGTTAACTTTAGATTTTCTTTCTTATCAGGTATTCACAACAAATGGTTTTGTACTGTATTAAAAGTCTAAAGTTATCAAAAATCATTTGAATTTAGGGAAGATAATGGTACATACAGTAAAATTTGGTTTTAGCAAAGTCCTGGGGACCTGGGATTTTTCTTCACTATATCAGTAACTTGTTATATATCCATATATAGAAGTGTAACTAATGAGTTTGTAATATTCATGTTTTCCTTTAAGTATGGCTACATAATATGTTCAGAGAAGTATAAAATGCAAAAGTTACTTAGGAATTTTTCTAATGAATTGAAATTCAACTTTAAATATCATATATGTGATATGTACAGGCTGTACGCAAAATGTACAGTTTTTTGAGCCCATTCATCGTGTACCGGCGGGACACCAAAATTCACAGAATATGAAAATTTGTACAGTATTTTGAATTTCTCGCTAAATGCCGCCATTTTCCTCTCATTCTCGCTCGCGAGACACTGAAAAACGTCACCTGTGTTTGACACTTGACCTTCTGATAATTATGTAGTGTACACAAGCCATCGCGTGCGAAGGTGTGAACTGCCAATTGGGATAATTATCTTGCTATAAATCCATATCAAATATCCCTTTAGGTAGCTTTATTTTTTAAGGGGCACTTAATTACTGTTAATGTTTCGTATACGTAACTTGATTGAAAAAAATAAAGCCAACTTCAAAAGTTGATATACATGACTTTAGTCTTAATATATGTGAATCTGACCCAGATCTTCGTAGGTATAAAATATACGATGTTTATTACAATGATTACGATGGAATTTCAGAAGAATTTAAGCGATATTTTATACAATTTTTTTGTACCGTTTTTTGATAAGCAGTGTACAGTTTTTTCACCCAAATTCCAGTTTTTTTATGGCTCCTGTACAGTTTTGTGGTCTTTGACTTATCACATGTATGAAATATGTACATAAAAATAATGTCAGTTTAGTATTTTGAACGTTCAGGTCTTTAAAAATTTGTAAGAAAAGATGTAAATTTTGTTATTTTTAATCTCTACAGGACACAAAATCAGTTCATTATATCAGTTAATTCGTTAAATCAGAGTTGAATTTGTTATAACCATAAAATTTTACAAGGAATTCATAAGAATTTTTCTAGGGATCCAAAAAAACTTTCCTGTATACGTAAATTTGTAATATCCTTGTTCATACTTAACGAGTCTTACTGTGTATGTCTATTTGAATAGTCTTGAATGTCAAAAATATCTGACCTTGATTACTTCAGATTTGATGAGTGATGACTCGGATGTAGATGACCAACCAGATGAATGGAAGAAACACAGAACCCTTCCACCTGGTGCACGTGATCAGATGAAAAATTTCGCCAACAAACGAGGTACTTCAACTGTTTTACATGCATTACATTTCAATATTGTCCAAAAATTCAATATTGAATTTAATTTCTTAAACCGATTACCGTAAAGTATTAAACAAATTTCCTTGATGACGCTGAAGTTAAAATCAATAAATGTCTAGAATGTTTCAAGTATCTAAGCAGTTGCTGTTTAAGTGTATTGTATTTTCATTCTGATTGTGATTGATGTATCCTCGTACTATAAATAGCGACACCTTCAAATCTCTCTGTGACGGAGTCCGTCCCTCGTCAACCTCACCATGGTGACTTTGCCAGTGAGTGGTAGTGTAGACACGTAGCATGGCCAGTGTCTGGCTGTTTTTACATAGTGTCTCTACAAAAATATAATCCTCTCTTTGTGTATAATCTTCTTTGCTGCATGAAAGATTTGAATACTGCATGAATGTTTCTTATTTTCTGCTCTGAGATTTGATGATTGATTTTGCTTCATTTCTTAGAATTAATGCCAGATAGACAAGCTTAATCTGTGGTTGGATATTTTATAGTCAAAATAAGATTCTTGTGCAGAGATTGATTTGGTAAGAAATATAGGTTTATAGAGAAAAACATGCTGTGGTCTGAAAAAAATGAGAAGATATGCCCAACTTTTAGAGCTATCAAATTAATTTTAACAGCTCTTAGGAAGCTGTGTCCTACTGAAGTGACAATTGTTATGAATGATATTTTAACATTAGTCTAAAAAATTATGAATGATATTTTAACAATACTTTAATTTTTAAACTTTAACATTATAGAAATTTGAAGAAATCAATAGTGAACAAATTTACTAGATTTTCTAATGAGGTGTACATGTAGTTTGAATAGTAATATCATTTTCAGTTTAAAACATTTAAGCTGTCTTGTAGTCTGTTTTGGGAAGATTGTAAGTGTGACTTGAAGGTCTTTTCTATGGAAACTGCAAGCCCTTATTACATCAGTCTTAAAATAAAAGTACTAGTAGTTAGTTACTGTCTTTTTATATTGCCATCTCATCTTACCTACCTCTGATATAGAAAGTTTCCTTGTACATGTATGTATTAAGTTAGACCCTTTTCCTGCACCAAGGCTATACACATTTACCTGAATATGGACAAATCTCCTTTGTATAAGGAATCAAAGACAGGAATAGGTTGTAAATGGGTGTGACCTATAGTGGGGTTCTATAAGATCAGCTGGAATTACATGAAATAGGAGGGGGTAGGGGTAAAATGATGCCAAGGTGGAAAAAGCAAACTTGAAGAGATATTTGTAGATTATGTTGTTAAGTGCATATCTGCAGCATGATGAAGCAGTAAAGTTTAATTTGCTTTTTTAGTACCATTGTTTATGAAGATAGGACATCATACATTCTAGCTTTGTAGCATGAAATAAGGTTTTTTTTTTCTCATAACTTGTTTTCTTTCTGTACATATATACTGATTGCTTTGTATAGACTAGTATTTACATCCTTTTTTTCATATTCTGTTATTTTCAGTAGAGTTTTTTTTCTTGCATGTATTTAATTGTGTGTCATTGATATTACAAAATAAGGATATGATTTTAAAGTACCAGTAATATGTATCTCAACTCGAAAATTTGTTGTTTTTTTTTTGTTTATCATCATAGTACATGTAGTTTAATTAAGTTGCTCATTTATTCTAAGTACCTATAATTTTTATTTGGAATAATTTCTTTATTGTTTGCTTGATTGTTGATTTTTGTGGCTCTGTAGAAATAGACTACACCAGTGGGGACATAGACGCCACCCTCTCCATCAGCTCCTGGAGCTATGCCCCCCGCGACCAGGACCCCGAATTAAATGACCTCAGAAAAACCAGTAGCTTACAGAGTCTTCCCAACATAGAAGGTAGAGGGTGTAACCCTGGGGTGGCTAGCCACTCAGTAGAATGGCTAACCCTAGGGTGACCTGCCAAACAATAGAATGGCACAATTTTCTCTCCAGTTCTGGCACATCTTTACTCTGAATGTCTTCTCTGATATTCTTCAGTAACCAAATCTCTAGGACTTCTCTGAATCACTCTTTGCTCATTCTTTGAGTAAAATCTACTTTGCATATTTGTGTAACTTGATAATTTCTCTACTTTTCTTGTATAAAGTTAATTCATTTTTACTTTTCTCAATCACTCGTTCCTCAGCCTTTGAGTAAAATCTATTTTGCACCTATTCTTTGTGTATTCTAACCATATTTTTACTTCTCTTGTATTTCTTTTATATATAAACATGTAAATTTATTTATGACATTGAACTGACAATCATTTTGTCAGTTGTCATTTTGAAGATAAGAGTGGGAAAATTGCTGGAAGATAAACACGTGAATCTGTGTATTGGTTCATTGTATTATTAACTTTATATCACTTCTATACTCTATCATTTAGTTATATATTGTACTCTATATTGCATTAATTCTAGGTAATGGTTTATATATATACTTTTTATAGTTTCTTATAGAAGAAATCATATCCAAAATAGTTGCATACTCCTTAAATTGACACAATCCTCAATTCATATACTTTATTTCAGCTCAGTTTTTAAAAGATTTAACCATTTTAAGTCGAGCAACTGAGAAAACAGAACCAATAGAAAGACAAAATACCCAGGATGTAGACACCACAGATGATTCTAACAATGTTAACCCCAGTTCTGGGGCCCCCTTGACAGATGGCATCAGCTCCCTTCAGACCCCTTTTACTCAGTCTGTGACTCCAGGCGGTAGGATCACCAGCATCTTAGACACACCTATGGGTCCTCAAGAGGACACAGTTATTGAGGAGTCAGAAAGAGAATCCCCTGAGCAGATATCTGAGAAAGATGAGGAAGAAAATGGAATGGAAGGGACAGTCAAATCTAGGATGAGTGAAGCATCACGGAAGTCGCCCAGCAGGAAGGGCTCTGTTATGTCTAAGACCTCCCTTATTGACCCCGAGCTGACTAAGTCTGTGAGTGGTAGTCTGCCAAAGTCCAGGGCTCCCAGTGTGGATCTGTATACAAGAACAATCATTAATAGCAGAAGTCGCAGAAGGTACAGTTTGGATCTTGGATCTAAAGCTGGTCGGGGTCTGTTGATTGAGGCTGATAAGAAGCTTACTAGAGCATCCAGTGTGGATCTGTCAAAGGATTTAGAGTTGTCATTAGAGGATCTTAAGAACAAGATAGCTTTGAAGAGTAAGGAGGATGACCAGAGTGAGGAGGGTGGTAAATCTAGGGCTCCAAGTGTCAGTGAAGAGAGACGAGGGTCTGTGAAGTCACGCCTTGCCTCCAGGGAGTCCATCCTCAGAAGTATGTCCAAACAGTCACTCAATCAGGAGGAGATTTTGTTTGAGGGTCCAGCAGAAAGTGAAATTTTGGAGGTGTCCTCAGAAAGAAAGTCTACAATAACAGGTGATGAAGAGTCTGTGTTAGCTGTGGAGGGCCAGGGAATCCCTGGTCCTTCTTCTCCCTCTGTTGACCAACCCATTTCCAAACCTGAATCTCCCAAACATTCAGAAGACACTGCTACTGTCCGCTCAGGTATAAAAGATCTTGCAGGCATTCCTTAACATTTTATTACAACTTAATCCACAACTGAGATCACAAGTTAGAATTGTAGAGTATCAAGATTTTTTAACATTCAGTCAGTTTTTGATCCCCCACACAAATGTTTAGGATCCTCACAAGATGCTCACATAAATTACAATTTTCTGTGTTTTAGTTTCCTCCCAACAACTTCCCTTCACTTCAATATTAACCATATTTCATTGTTTTCTCATTTCTCACTTTTTCACTCAATCTAATATAATGGGTTTTTTTAATTTTCAGGTTAGAATGATAAAAGTGTAATTGTAGTTAAGATATCATGTTTGATGATTTCTTATTATTCACAAGATGTAAATTTTGTAGAATGATTTCACATATGTATAATTTTTAATTGATTAGGTGAAGATCACTGCATGTGTTTGCTGTTCTAGATTGCAATGTTCACATTGAAACTAAGTGTTATTTTGTCTCATTTCTTTAATAAATTTTTGTGTTGACTCGTATGAATACATGTCTATATATGTAAAAAAAAAAAAAAAAAAATCACAAATGGTTGATATGTATACATGTATGTTTTTTTTTTTTCAATTTTTAAATGATATGAATGAAATAAAGTTTATTTTCCTGCTAATCAATACATTTCATCATATGATTTTTTTTTCATTATCTGAAGCATAATTATAAACTAAATTTTTTAAAATAATGACAAAAAACACTTGTTTTGGTAAAACTCATGTAATCCCCAATTTTGACAGATTCTGCAAGATCCAAAGTTTCAGAAAAAGAGATCGTGGATGCCTTGGCGGATCATGCCCAGCAGATCGCTTCGAGCGTGCTCAGTCGTAGTACATCTGGAAAGGACCTGGAGGATGATGTCAGGGTAAGGGGAGAGAACTCAATTCTAAGATTCTATGGAGGGCAATGATGCACAGTGTTCATGTTGTGAACTTTTCTTTGAGCTTTGAAGAGTTAAAGTGTTACTATTAATGTAAAATTTATCATTTTATTACTTATAAACTTTAAAAAAGTTCAATGAGGTAATTCAACAAATAAATGTAATATTGGGGAAAAAAAATCACACTTAAGTCATCATTATATTGAGTTAAAGCAAAGAAACTGCAGGATTTTTTGAGATTGAGATTTTTTTTTTGGCATTTACAAAAAAGCTTTAAATTCTGATATATGCTTTTTATTGTAAGCTCTATTAACAGTTTTGTTCTTTATCTCATCTCTGGTTTTAAACTTGCTTCCAATCTGGTTCAAATGCCTCTGACACTGCCAATATTTTCCTCTGAATATGCATGATATGCAAACTAACTTCTGACCTCTTCTAGCGGGCGGCTAAGCTCTGGATGGACACCCACCCCCCACGAGATATTTCTAGAAGTCACTCGGTTCAGGACAAGGTATTTACACACTGGTTCACCAGGAATTTTATAGGTGTAGAAACTATAAGTTTGTCTGGTTTAAAAATATTATTTCCAGAATTTTGTCTTTGTTTATATCATCTAAAGTGACACAGTACCTTCATTGTCGGATACCCTAAGGTGATCTCTTCTTTTACTCATCTCCCAGTGATGAGTAAAAGTGGGTATCCAAAGATGCAGTACAGTATAAAATACTGTGTATCTCAGTAATTAGGCAGTCTGGAAGAAATTCTGTGGCACATGGCACTTTAAAATGAAGTACTTTGTTTATTTTAATTTTTTTTTCCTTTTCAATTTTTAAAGTTTTTACAGTCAAATTTTCATATTTCCATGCATATTTCTTTAATACACCATTCATATTTTGGCAAATAAAAATTGTCACATTGTAATGTTTTTTAATATGTATTTGAAATGTTCTATACATACTTATGTATATGTTTGTGTATCTTTATATATTTATATGTACATGTAACAATTAAGATAATGCTTCAATCTGTGTTTAATTAAAAGAAATGTAAAATTAATTAAATTACCAAACTAACTGATTTTAAAAAATGCATTTATATACTAATGTAAAATAATGTGTTGATCTGAAACTAAATTCATTACATGCTTATAACCTTGAAAAAAAAAACAAACTTATTTGTATATAGGCCTGAATTTTGTACCCTAAAGAAAGTTAACAGTGCAATTAATTACACAACAGATATGTAATAAATAATGGGAAATATGGACACCAAGATTCTGATGAATGTAATGCATAATGTTTGTTGTTTGTAGTCAATTGTACAAGAGATAATGGCAGGACAGGAAAAGAGAAAGAGTGCAGGACCCACTGCAGGAGAATACAAAGAACTCATCAAGGCCAACCTCAAGACAGCAAGTAAGTATCAAATCAGGGAAATCTATCTCAGAGACGAGATAGAACACAAACTGTAGTACAAAGAACTCATCAAGGCCAACCTCAAGACAGCAAGTAAGTATCAAATCAGGGAAATCTATCTCAGAGACGAGATAGAACACACACTGTAGTACAAAGAACTCATCAAGGCCAACCTCAAGACAGCAAGTAAGTATCAAATCAGGGAAATCTATCTCAGAGACGAGATAGAACACACACTGTAGTACAAAGAACTCATCAAGGCCAACCTCAAGACAGCAAGTAAGTATCAAATCAAGGAAATCTATCTCAGAGACGAGATAGAACACAAACTGTAGTACAAAGAACTCATCAAGGCCAACCTCAAGACAGCAAGTAAGTATCAAATCAGGGAAATCTATCTCAGAGACGAGATAGAACACAAACTGTAGTACAAAGAACTCATCAAGGCCAACCTCAAGACAGCAAGTAAGTATCAAATCAGGGAAATCTATCTCAGAGACGAGATAGAACACACACTGTAGTAAATCTACTATGTGTTATGTGTACGGTGTCTGATACATGAAACTGAAGGAGTGGGAGTCAAAAATGATGGGCTGAAGAGTATTGCTTCTGGAGAATATATATATATATATATATATATATATATATATATATATATATATATATATGTATGTATAACTACCAAGGCACTACATAAATCTGTATGATTTGTTCAGGAACACACGTCTGGATTAACAAGACTGTGCTGCTAAATATTGTACGAACCTTCAATCTCACATTGAACAGATCACTAGTTCATTTATGCACAGTAATTTTCTTGGTTTGTTCCTGTAGTGTCTAGTGCTAGTGGTGAAAACGTCCCAGCTGACACAGAGGTCAGTCCAGAACTGATAGACACACTGGCCAAGGAGGACGTCGCTGCTGAGGATTTAGAGATAGTTCAGGACGACGACGGAAAAAGTCTCATCCGCACCAAAAGTCAGGTCTCCATGGCAATGGGTGGAGTTAAGGAAGGTCATATCTATGTACCAGTGGCTAAAAGTAAGCTAGTGCTCTGTGTCTAGGTATCTGCTGCAGATGTCATGGAAATTTTGAATAAATAAGTACGATTAGGGGTGTTTTTATGATAATATCCAAAAAACAAAAATTCAGCATCAATACTTTCAATTTACTTAAGTTTGACAAGTAAAATTTGAATTTGTGGGTATACCTTTTAAATTTTTTATATAAATATCTTCACACTGCTATCCATCACCATATAGCAATAACTATTGATAGCAAAGATTTAAGACTTTCCTTCAATGTACAGTACTTTCAAAACCTTGATATTTATTGCACACTATAGTTACCGTATAACTTTAGCTAACATTTGGATATCATAACCATTCTATAAGAAAATAAACTGCTAGTACTTATAATTACTGTGGTATATGGTACATTTGGACTTCTTTTAGTTAACAAGCTATCATTTCAACTGTTTCAAGTTAATGTTGTAATACTAAAATTATCAACTGTGTGCTAGTGAAGTTAGCTAGGCCTAATTGTCTTCAGTGTAATTGTAGTGTATATATAGTGAGCTTTTAACTTGGTGAAGGTATCTGCTTTGGTGTTGCGGTTGCTTGGTAACACTGCTTAACCCTGTTGCTTTGCAGACGGGCAGAAGGCTCCTGCTACTAGCATACCTGTGGATCGGCAATCTAATGCTGATATAGGGGAACTTGCTGTCATTCACTATTCTGGGGACAAAGACTTGGTAAAGGCAGAGTCTGAGAAAAGCCCCTCAGAGAAGGGCAGTAAAACCAAGTCCCAGCCCCCCTCAACTCTTGGGGAATCTATTGTAGAGGAGGAGCAGTTTCCAGATGATACCTCTGACCGCAAGTCCCACGTGTCATTCAAGGATGAAGAGGAGATTGAAGATGAGTTTCAGAAAGCCGTTAAGGAGGCAGAACAGGTTTGTGAAGTTGGGATCATCTCACACAGACTGCAGTGAGGGGGAAAAAAACAACCCTTTGCAATTATTTATGGGGGATAATTTTTTACTTAAAGTGTTGTAAACAATTATCTTTTGAGTGGATGAATGAATTTTTTTATACATCCAGAAATCTGACAAGCAGAGCATGAAAAGTGGAAAGACGGAGTCAGATGGTAAAAAGAGTAAGGTGTCGATGGAAAAGTCCACATCCCCAGTCAAGAAGAAGGAGGAATTTGTTGTGGGTAAGTAATGGATAAACAAAATGTTATTATGTGGCCACTGCTTTATTTCAGGATAAAATTAACAAGGAAAAGATAATGGTTATAGGTTTATAGGATGTGAAATGTATAGTACTGATAAGCATACCAGGTAATTCTGTTGATAAATTTTATTAAAAATTTAATTCATAAAGTTGTTAATTATCATATTTTTTCATTCTTATTAAGGTAAAAAATTTATGAATTTTACTTTATACATGTACAGTGGACCCTCAGATATCCGGACGCCAGATATGCGGACGCTTCAGTTTCCGGACAATTTTTCATGGGAACAGAATTTTTTAATGTTATTTTGTCTCGTTTAACAGGAATTCCGCGTTCCGTATCTGGACTGTCCTTTTTCACCACAAAATGAATTTTTACATTATATTTTGGTTCATTTATCTGGACAGTAATTTTTTTAATTGGTCTGTCAACTCTACTCAAATTTCTAGATCTGGGTGTTAATTGTTGTAAAAACACTGGCTTGGCCGTTTGTTTTAAAAAAAATGATTACCTGTGACCTGTTATCACTGGCTTGCGGCAAGGTTATTTATAGGCTGATGGGTACGCACGAGACTCTCGCATCTCTATCATGTATTTGATATGTATTAATTAAGGGAAATGCTTTTTATTTATGTCCATTTTTTTTTTTTTGTAGTTGGCAAATAGTTTTCTTTTTCTGTTAGAATACAGTCGTAACATGGTTTTATGTATTGCTATTTATAGACATGACATCGTGGGTATTTTTTATGCACAGTATTTTGTGTGCAACACGGATTGTGATTTGATGACATTTATAAAATCACTTTCATTATTAAAAATCGTTAATACGATCTCGCTTGGAATGATTATGAATATCAAATAAGAATAGAGATATCGAAAGATTTTTTTCTCCACCAGCTCTACAGACTCTTGGCTGGGAGAAGTTGATTTATAAGACACTGGGAAGTAGAAATAATTGAGGTTTTCATATAAATAATGTTTCATCCAATGACAATTTACTTTTTTATTTTATTTAAACAGGTATTGAGTAGTACTAACGTATATTAAACTATTTAAACAATAAAACTTAATGATATATAGCAGCATTTTATTGCCAATGGTATGAAAGGCCATATAACTAAAATCAAGGCAATTCAGGTATCCGGACGCTTCACATATCCGGACAAATTGATTGGGAACCAAAGCGTCTGGATAAATGAGGCTCCACTGTATGTGCAGACATAAACTTTAAGACATCAAGCTTCAATCTATTAACTTAAAACACAGGTTTTGCAGCTTCTTTCCAAATGGATAAATCATAATTACCGGTATCTTGAAATATTCATCGTTTGAAAAATTTCCATCAAATGATATTTATTAAGATAAATACATAACAGGTGATACTACATGTACCGGTACATGTACTTAAAGGAATTCGTGTTTTGTTCTCTTTATTGGAATTATTAGTCAATAAGTTTTAACAGTTTCAGCAAACTATGATTTTTATTCAAATAAATACCAAGAAATATTGATATTGCTATTTCAATATTGCATCAAATAGTCTGTGACCTATATTTGCAGTCTTTTTGAATATGCCGAGATCAGTACATGTACATATAGTATTTTGTCACAAAATAGCATTTTTTAGTCTCAAAAATTATTTTTACATGCATTTATTCACAATTTGGATGTTACTTCTCAGGCAAGGTAGATACAAAGGATGATATTAAGGCACTGTATGGTCAGCCTGAAGCCCCGCCCAAGGAGCCTTCAATGGGTGAGAGAAGAGTGGGACTAACCCTTCACTAATGTAATGTCTCGCTGCCACTTAACCCACTTAATTCATCCTGTTTAGGTCTAAGCTTAACCTGCTTCAATGGTCATACTGTATTGTAAATTGTCATGTGCATGTGGACTAAATACGATTGTTTTTATTGCAGGAATTTTAACCACTTTCCCCTTTACCGTGGAAGATTGTCTTTTAGTTTTATTTCCATTTCTAATCATCTCTTGTTCTAAATCATGCTTGTCTGGTGAAGGATTCATAACCTCATGTATTTTTAATAACAGTATTTTACAAATTATTATAATTTTGATATTTCTTGTTGAATTGTTCAACTTTTCAGACGTAGATTTCATCATTCCTTTTATATTGTTGGAAACCAAAGGTTGGTTTCGCTTCTCTTACTTAAGAGAGAAGAAAGCAAAACTGGTCGTGGGTTTCTAATGATGCATTCCTCTATCCCATTCTAAAATAATAACTTATTACAAAAATGATTTACTTACAGAAAGATTAAGCTTGTTACCAGTTATGTTGTATATAATACATTCATTGATATGGAAAACTGCAGGTGTTTTCTTACTGTTGTAAACTTTTTATTACCTCTACTTGTTATAGGGGTTAAAAAAGCCAGTCCTGTCAAAGAGTCGCCTCCCTTACCTTCCCCTCCCAAAAGTGCCGGTGAGACTGTGTGATGTGTACTGATATCACAATCAGACAAAATTTGTCTGCATTTGTGGTTTAATGAATTATGTCCTTTTTTAAACCAAAAAAAATAAATAAATAATAATAATAACATATTTAAAAGTTGCACACAAGAAATTTTGATTGACAATATTCATAAAATTACATTCACCTCACTGTGTGCAGAAAATATTGTAAATGATCACTTCTTGAACACTATAGTATTTAATCACAAATTCCAATAATTACTTTTTGCAGTCACAGTAAAATTGCTTAATATTTCAGGACATATAAGTATATATAGATATTTTTCGTATGACATATTTTCCCTCTGAGTTATTTCCCTTGGCTGCCATCTTGGTGGCCAAACTGGTGAATTTTCCTTTTTAGCAACCGATTTTAAATTTAAAATCTATGGTAGAAATATGGGACAAAAATCTTTGAAATACTAAAATTATGAATTAAAGGAAGCTTTTGCAAATATATATTCATAAGAAATACTGTGATATCTTCACCTCAATGTCCAGTATGACAAGTTTAAATTGGTTGAACAATGAAGGAATCTGGGCTTGTTGACCTCCAATATGGTGACCAGTGGGAAATAACTCTTGCTAAAATTGCGTCTATCAAAAACTATTGATTGACATGATTGAGTCATAAAATTACATTCGCATGACTGTTGAAAAAAAATATATGTAAACTGTCATTTTTGAACATTCTAATATTGAATGACTGTAACTAAAATAATTACTATTTACACAAACACAGTAAAATTGCCCAACATTTCAGAACATATAAATATATGTATGGTATAATTTCTTATAATTTCTTAGAATTCATGGTGATAACATCAAAGGAAAGGCAAGAAATTGACCCAAATCAAGACTACAAGGGGGATAACTCCTCCATTTCAAAACCATCTTTACCAGTGCTAGAAAGTTTAAGTGAGAACAAATTATTTTAATGATTGGTTATAAGGTACACAGCACTGACATGTTTGATTCTCCTTGATGGCAGATGATGCATATTGTGGTGAAAGTTTTCTCCCTGAGCATTCCTTGGGGAATACAGGTGTTTACTTTTTGAGTCTTGCAATGCATATATGTTTCTTAGTGACACATGGGGGTAATATTTTACTTGTAGAACTGTATTAGGGATTGTACACATCTCAGAGTGACAGATTTTGAGGAACACATGTGCTGTTTGTTTGTTTTGCAGTCAAAAATAGTCACTGGAATTAGGCATTGACATTTTAAGAATAAAAGAAAAAAGAGTGTTCTGATCATTTTCTTGATGTTTGTAACAAAAGCTCACTGAGAATGATGGGATCTTTCTGATACTTGAAGGAAAAAAATCAGTAGAGGAAGAACCTAAAAAACTTGTGGTTGAGCAAAAAAGCATCAAATCTGCAAGTACGGCCAAGAGCAGTACTACTGGTACTAAAACTGTGACGTCTGCTAAATCAGAGGAAATGGGTGAGAAATCAACACAGAGCAGATCACATGACAACACAATTTGAGTGTGTGAGCTAAAATGGTAGCACACTGGGAAAGTCACTGATACAGCAAAACACAATAGCTTTTGAAACAGTTAGGATTTGTCACATGCATCTAGTTTAAAATTTTAGAATCTATGAGAATTTTTAAAAAAAATTGAAGAAATTTTACACCTACACTTTTGTATCACTTTTGCAGTTTTGACAGATTTTTTTTTCCCCATTCAAACACTCTTTGCAGCTTGTTCACTTACTTAATATATTTGCTTTCAGATTTGGTGCCTAAAACGATGGAGATAATTCTTTTTTTAAAAAATGCTTACTTTAAGTTTGAAAATTTCCTTTCAGCTCAAATCCAGCAAGATTTCCAGAATGAGATTAAAAATCTAATGGGCAAAGGGCCAACACAAAAAGATGTGAAGGGTAAATTGTTCCCTGAGTAATTGAACCACCCCACGGTATTGGATGTAACACCCCACCAAGTGACTCTCTAACACACTGATTTAACAAACTCATTTCTCTGCTAATACTTTGTTTCTCTTTGTATTTTTTGCAGGTGTCACTCAGCAACATTTTCCAATTAAATTCTTCAGACCTATGTGACGTAAAACAAAAGGCTATTTTTTTGTGTGTGTTAATTTTTGCTAAGACGCCTGTTTTGTTGAGAGGCTAGAAAATTATAGATCAGTGTGGTAATTGGCCAGATCTTTTATGTTACAGGAAGAGTTGAATACAAAGATGAATTAAAACATCTGTATAATAATCAGGCTAGAAAGCCTGAAAAACCCAAGGGTGAGACTAAGTTCAGACTGTCCATATTTATTTTGCAGTTAGAGAATTTTTAACATTCAGATACTATTGCTTTATTTTCTATTATATATATTATATATACATGTGTTTATTACTACCTGTATTTAGGGATGGCAATCATTGTGAAGAGGGTGGGGGATAATTGCAAATTGGGTAACAGAGCCTATTTATAAATTGTATAACCCTTTTATGAGGTCAATTCTTAAATATATCAACTTTAAAGGAAAGTATATCAACCGAGCACGAAGTTCGAGGTTGATATATTTTTCTGGTCACGCAAAATTCTCAGACCATAGAAATCAGTCACAATGTTACATAGACCAAAAATCTGATAAGCTCTTGTGAATTAAATTGAACTTGTCAAATGAAAACAAAAGTTTATCAGTTTGTAGAATTTTAAAGACTTTGTAAAATAAAAGAACACTAAAAAAATATAAATGAATCAACCTGTTGCAAATTTTTCAGCTTTGCCAATTAGTTGGTTATAAACCAGCAGGAAATTGCCATTCCTATCATGATTTTTTTTCTCTCAGCCTCTTTTATATATACTTTACTGCAGACATAAATTTGATTTATTACACTTTATTGAGTTGATCTATAAGTATATAGCCTTCTTACTATGTATGTTTATACACAACAGAATATTCCTTCAGCACTGTGTTTGATCTTTTTTCCCACCCTTTGTTGCAATTAATACTATGTATTTGATAACATACTCTTTAGTCCATGTTTTTTAGCTCTACTGGTCAGAGACCAGAAGAGCTTATGCGATAGTAAGGTGTCCGTCGTCCGTCCGTCTGTCTGTCTGTCTGTCTGTCTGTCTGTCCGTCTGTCTGTAAACAATTTTTCAAAACGCTACTCCTCCTACAGTTTTGGTCCGATTTCAATATAACTTGGCACACAAGTAGACTACACTAAGATACATAATTTAGTGCATCGGTTTTTGATTTCGATGGACGGTGTTGCCATGGTTACTAAAAATAGAAATTTCTGTGAAATTCCTTTAAAATGCTACTCCTCCTACAGTTTTGGTCCGATTTCAATATAACTTGGCACACAAGTAGACTACACTAAGATACATAATTTAGTGCATCGGTTTTTGATTTCGATGGACGGTGTTGCCATGGTTACTAAAAATAGAAATTTCTGTGAAATTCCTTTAAAACGCTACTCCTCCTACAGTGTTGGTCCGATTTCAATATAACTTGGCACACAAGTAGACTACACTAAGATACATAATTTAGTGCATCGGTTTTTGATTTCGATGGACGGTGTTGCCATGGTTACTAAAAATAGAAATTTCTGTGAAATTCCTTTAAAACGCTACTCCTCCTACAGTTTTGGTCCGATTTCAATATAACTTGGCAAACAAGTAGACTACACTAAGATACATAATTTAGTGCATCGGTTTTTGATTTCGATGGACGGTGTTGCCATGGTTACTAAAAATAGAAATTTCTGTGAAATTCCTTTAAAACGCTACTCCTCCTACAGTTTTGGTCCGATTTCAATATAACTTGGCACACAAGTAGACTACACTAAGATACATAATTTAGTGCATCGGTTTTTGATTTCGATGGACGGTGTTGCCATGGTTACTAAAAATAGAAATTTCTGTGAAATTCCTTTAAAACGCTACTCCTCCTACAGTTTTGGTCCGATTTCAATATAACTTGGCACACAAGTACACTACACTAAGATGCATAATTTATTGCATCGGTTTTTGAATACAATGGACTGTGTTGCCATGGTTACTAAAAATAGAAATTTCTGTGAAATTCCTTTAAAACACTACTCCTGCTACAGTTTTAGTCTGCTTCTAATATAATTAGGCATACAAGAATACTATACTAAGATACATAATTTAGTGCATTGGTTTTTGAATTCGATGAACAGTGTTGCCATGGTTACTTAAAATAGAAATTTCTGTGAAATTCCTTTAAAACGTTACTCCTCCTACAATTTTGGTCTGATTTCAATCTAATTTGGCACACAGTTAGAATACACTACGATACATAATATGTATTTCTGTTTTTTTTATTTGGGTGAATGGTGTTGTCATTGTTACCGGTACTAAAAATAGAAATTTCCGTGAAATACTTTCAAAACGCTACTACTCCTAGTTTTCATTTGATTTCAATATAACTTGTCACAAAAGTAGACTACATTAAGATACATAATTCTATTTATTGTTGCATGTTGCAATGTTTCAAATCCAAGTGCTACTTTTCTTTTGTTATACAAACAGACCAGTAGAGCTACAGTCTCATCAGAGACTTCTGGTTTTAATTCACTGTGACCTATTTTTTCTTCCTTTTATCAAATGATATTTTATAACTTAATGACCTCCAGTGCATTCTCTTATTTTCAACTCTTTCTTGTCTGTTCTGCTTATGTGTTTCCATTTTGTTTTTCAGATTGTTTGTTTTTTATATTTTATTGTATAAATATAAACATTTTGTACATCTTTCTCTTCAAATTATCTAAGTGAATTGTCTTTCTGAAATATACTACAAATGATTTTTTTTACCTGAAAATTGTAAATTAAGTTTTTCATTAAACAATTTTTTTTCATTAAAGGTGTAATTCTTTTAACATTTCATTCAAGAAGCCTGAAAAAGCCACAAGTAGTTAATAACTGACAATTTATCAACTTTTTTAAGGAGGCAAAACCAAAAAGAAGGTTCCATCCCCAACAAAAAAGCCCACAGTCACCAAGGAGGCTAAACCAAAGGCCAAAGGTAAGGCCAAGGCCAAGAAGAAGGAGGAGTCCCCTGAACCGAAACCAGCAGAGCCTGAACCGGTGCAACCAGAACCTGAACCTAAACCTCCCACACCAAAACCTCCCACACCACCCCCACCAAAAGAGGAGCCACCCTCCGATCCTGAGACTGATAGAGTAAGAGTCAGATACAGTGTAACTGGTTTTAACTAATTACTGATATAATGACTACCAAGCTAAATAAGGAAAATATTATGTCTCGGTATTCATTTCCTCAAGAACTACAAAACAGAATTCTATTAATAAAGAAATTTTTGCCATCTTCAAGAAGTTCAAATTGTCCCTATTTTTTTTTTTTTATTTTGTATAATAATAATAAAAAAAGACTTGATAATGCACCAGAAATCTAAAGTAAAATATTTTTCAAAAAATATCTATTACAATGGTGGGTATATTGTTTTGCAGAGAAAATCTATTGCTTCCAGCATAAATGTTAACCTTAAGAAAGTGAAATCAAAGGTATAAAGAGTGAGACATCACAGGTCACCTGTCGTCTAATGATCTGGTTCTTTTTCAGTGACATCTTTCTTTCACTGTAATCATTTTGCAGTGCCTTTTTTACAGTGATGATATGAAGAAATTCATATTAATGTGCCACTTTCTATTCATACAATTTCATGGTCACATTCAGTTCACTGGGAAGACCACAAAAATATCAAAGATTTCTAAAGACTAATATACATGTACATAATTCATTTTGAATTAATTTTGAATATCATAAACTTCACCATTCATTAAAGTGAGATTTTGATATTTTTCACAACTAATACTGTAGATATACACTATGCTTGTTTCCAAGGACAATTTTTTTTCTAAAACAAAGCGATACAAATCAGGCAAAATGGAAAGTACATTGGTTTATTTGATAACAAGCAAAACTTCTTCCACCAGTTTCCTGTAAAATAACTAAAAGAGAAAACAAACTGATGGTTTCGTTTACCTTACAGGAGTCTGTGTCAGACTTGAAGAGCGAGGAAAGCTTTGAGTTCCACATTGTCAGGGATTCCCCCTCACCAAGTCCACCCCCTCCTAAGGCCCCCTCAATCCCATCTGTGGAGGAGGAGCCAGAAACAGAGGAAGAGGAACCCATAGAGGATGAGGATGTAAGTTAATTATCTCCCCTTTATATGTACACAGTCACCTTAAATGTTGTCAGTTTTTGGAAATCTAAAACTGGTGATGGGTAGGATTTGGTTTATTGGTAATGGATTAAATCTTTCCATGATTTTTTTTTTTTTTTTTTTTTTTTGGACATGCTTAGAAAGAATCTGGGGGGATAAGACGAGCCATGTGCCCATGCCCATTTTTCGGCTATGCAAGAACATTTATTGGAAAAAATCTCTCAATTGTTCGAATTTACTTAAGCATTTTAATGTTTACCGTAGTTTTCAAAATGATATTTATATTCTAAACAAGCTAAACAGTTGACTTTCATTTACTGTCACAAATGTCTAACATGGGTAAGGACTTCTATTTATAATAAATCTGCATATTGAGTGTTTACACTTATTGTGGAGATATTATAAAAATGTTAACATCGTATATAATGATAATGGTGATCTAGAAGCGCTTTTATTTAAAATAAATAAAAACGGGAATAAAAGTATTCAAATATCTATTATAATTTTTATCCGGCATTTTAAATAATTTACTGTAAATAAGTTCATTACTACATGTATATATTTTATTTCCAGTGAAAAAATATGTTATTCCTATAGACATTTTTTTATAAAGTAAAACAAAATTAAAAACCAAAAAAAAAAAAAAAATCAAAAAATCAGTGCATGACTCGAAAACTTTCCTCAATAAACGTCCTTTTAAAGAGCTCCTTGCTAACCACTAGACCACGGAGTCACACTTATATGCCTTTTTAAATAGCATACAGTTCTCTATATTTAGCAAGCATTTTTGGACTTAGATTTTTTTAAGACTACGGTGAAAATTTAAGTAAGTTAACTTAATTTTTTATGTAGAGTGGGTCTTCATACCAAATTTTTGCAAGTATAAAAAGCAATATCTTTCCATTGCCTTTCCTTAATCGTTCTCAAAAAAATGGTACGATGACCCACTCTATTTAAAAAATGTAGTTATATCATCCAATTTATGTCAGTTTCTGTGAAATTGAGCGTGATGCCGTTTTCTTGTGTTAATCAGAATCATTTTCGCTGTTACAGTATTCAGGTTTTGTCAAATTTGTATGCAAATGGTAATAAGCATTACATTAATTCAACAAAAAGTGAAGTTTTTGTAAAATGAATTTTTTGATTTTTTATCGATCGTTATGTAGGCATATGGCTCGGCTTATCCCCCCAGTTTCTTTGAATATTTTTAAGATGATTTTTTTTTTTTTTTGGACATTCTTAGAAATTTGAATATTTTTAAGATCTTGATAATTCTACAATATTTAGTAGATAAAGTTGTCTGCTAAGCAATATGAATTAGGCATCAATGTCATATTAAATGACAATCAGCAAGTGAAATTGTTTGAATCTGATTTTACAGGTAGAGATAAATTTAGTAAATGATCTTTTCATACATACCATTTCATTTTTATTTGAATTTGAAGGCATCTAAACAGGTAATGACTGCTTGATAACTCTGTCACAAAAGTGTCAATATCTGCACCCTTCATGACTTCTTAACAAGTCCTAAAGCAATTCCCAACCAAAAACAATACTCATTAACAGGAAAACAATCATAATTAATTAATTAATAATAATGATTACATGTAATGTTCTCATAAAGGTTTTCTGAAACTGAGTTAACACAGCTATTTTTTTTTTCAAGAAATCTATTTATCTTGCAGCCAGCCTCTATATATTTTGGTTTTTCCTGCAATAATTAAACTCTCTAGCAGTACATGTATTACCAATAATAAACTTCTTAACAATGTGAACATAAAAGTGTCACTAGTTAAAATAGATTAGGACACTCAGTATTCAACAGATTTTTAAATTTTACCATTACAAGTGTACTATGTATCAAATTATGATGAGTATCACCATGTTATGTTAGATAAAATATTAGAGAGTTTCAATAAATTGATTCCCTTCTATTCTGAAACAATTTACTGAATCAGTTTACAGTTAAATCAGGTTTTAAGATTACCAAATATAGATTATTAACAATGAAGACAAGTAATCAAAACCAGATACAATTCTTTGCCTAGTTGTTGCTTTATTTTGCACATTCTCCTTGCCAACAACTTCTCATCTGAATTTCTACACTTTGAAAATATACAGTTTTATAATATACCAGATATGAATTTATCTATATATAAATAATACTCTCTCTTTTCAATTATCTGAAGATGTATGATTGATTGATTGTTCATTCATATGTTTGGATTTTTTGAATGATGTTTTGTGTATTTATATCCATTTGTTTGGTTGATATCCATTACATGTTTAATATTCTCTTTTTCCTCTAATTCCCACGTTAAAGAAAGGGGTGAAAAAGGTAAAATTAACTATTGTAATTGCACGTAATTTTAACATTGGTGGTAGTCAAAGAGCAGATCAGTTCACATAATTTTTCAAAATCAAAATATACCAGTGTTAAATAATTTCTGTAAATGATGAATTATCAATTCTTTTTATTATTGTTGATAAAATTCGAGATTTTTTTACTAATGTAACTAGAGTGAAATATTGCAGTAGATATGTAATTGAACTTTTTGTGCTTAAAGCAAATTGTCAAGAAGACTAAGGTATATTGTTTTATCTCTACATAGAAATTGCTTTTTTATCTTTTAATTATTATTAATTTTATTCTATATTTTAAAAAATATAAGAAGTTTTAATTAGCATGATACATGCATCTCAGTTATATCCCCTTGCTGCCCTACTACCACCAAACATCACCATGGTGTGACTTCTGTGTCAACTAGGGTTATTTAATTGCATGCCATGTGACCAGTTCAAAGCATGTCATGTGATCAGTCTAAAAGTGTATCATGTGACCTGTTTAAGTTCAAATTTAAAGCATGTCAGTGGACTGCTGTTACTTTCAAAACTAACTAATACATATAGCATGTCATTTGACGTAGTGTATGTCAATTGGATGGAAATTATGCAATGTTACTTTAAATATGTTGTGACCTTAATGCATGTCAGGCTATTTGCAATGCATGTCATGTCATGTGATGTCAATTTTAAGTATGTCATATGATCTATATTAATATCATAATGCCAAGACTGACAAAGTGCATGAAAGATATCTATATATCTAAAATTATTACAAATTAAGTATCTTATCAAATTACATCAGAGAACATATGTGGCAAAGGAAAAAATGCTTTATGACGGCGATAATTTTTTCTTACTGCAGAAAAGTACATAAATCTCATGTCACTTTAAGTTTTTGTATTGCACATCTTATCTAAAAAGAACATTAATCACACTAGGTGACCAATTTTTAAATATTTCCAATTTGGTTGTTATGCACAGAAATTGTAAACTCTCTTTGTACAAATGCCTGCACATATTTCAGTTGCTACAACCTAGCATTCTGCAATTCTTCTGACTTGTAAATGTTATGAAAGAAAATTGGTATTTGAATTTGAATGTTACTTTATGTTCAAGAACTTGAGGTGTCTTTATCTATTTTTGCTTGTGCTTTAAAAATCAGTGTTTTGAAGGAAAAAAAAGTTTTTTTGTTTTGTGATATAAATCTCACATTCAATATTTATTTTTCAATGGTAATTTTTAATATCAGGGTGGACCTAAGGTAATATGTTGTGGTCTTCGTGATGAAAATTGATTTTCTAACTAAAACTATTTCACAGTCACATTGCAAATACATCTACATAAAAAGGTAAATATGTTTTCAAAAGAAAAAAAAATGAACTAGATGAGTTAAATGCATTTTAAGGTTTTAATAATTCAATCTAGCTTTTATCTGAGATCTTTGTTTAAGATTGGAAATACATGTGGACCGAGGAGCACTCAGAAATTGTAAACCTCTTTGAATGCTATGCAGTCCATTATCTTACATCAAACCAGACATACAAATAAATTTCTCAAAGGACTGAAAATTCAATAACTTTTTAAAAAAAAAAAACAACTTTTTTTAAAAATATATTTATTTCATTGTTGGGGGGGGGGGGGGGGGGGGCATTCATTTTGTGGATAAATAATATCCTTCAAAAGAAAGGAATCCATGATGAAAATTTACTTACTAGCAATTAAGAAACCATGAAATTAAGTCCCCCATGAAATCACTTTTGGGAATAAAACCATGAAATGCTTACAGCCTAACAAAAATAAAGATTTCCATAAGTTATTTTTCTTTTTGTATCATTATTTCATAAGCAGAGCTCCTGACAGCCCCCTCCCAAACACACAGACACACACACAGACACACACACAAACACACACACTTAAAGAAGAAACCTGTTCATAGGTGAGGTTATAAACAAAACACAGTGTGCTTGAAGTCGTCACTTTGATACATGACTTAACAACATTCAGACAATGTGCCAGTAAATCACTAATTGAAATTGATGATGACGTCTGAATTATTCCAATATAATTTAGTTATTCAAAACTAAAAATAAATAAAAGCAGCTACAAAGACACATTCTAACATTTATCTGCTCTATATTTTTTTCAATTGTTTTTTTTTAAACTTTACCTGTATCAGAATGTTCCCTTGATTATGTATGACTTTGAATACTTTTTCTAACATTGCATTTCCTTTACATTCACTTAAGGATGAGGCAGCCAGATTGCGCATGATTTCCAACCGAGAGGCCAGGGCTGCCAAACGAGCTGCACAGGCCGAAAAACGACGACAGGAAGTAGAAAAACGACGACGAGAGAGAGAGGATCAGCTGAGGAGAGAAAAGGAAGAATTCGAGAGACAACAGCAACTTAAAGCTGAGCTGGAAGAGGAACGCAAGAGACAGGAGGAGCAACGAAGGTCAGTCATTGATTATTTAAAGTTATACTGCAGTGATATATTTTGATGTTAATAATTAACTAGAGGTATTGTGAGCACCAAGCTCACAAAATGTTACCCCCCCCCCCCCTTTCAAATGATTATAATGGCAAAGTCCTTGTTTTGCTATGGGAAACCTGAAATAAGTGTCAGATCAAAAAGTAAAATAGAAGGTGCACAATGGCACTATATAATAAAGAATGTGTGAAAGTCTCATTAGATTTTATTCAGTGGTATAGGAGGAGTTGCTTATAAGAGATGGGTACCCCTCAATATTATAGAAAGAATGGCAGTGTCCGTGTTTTGCTTTGGGAAACCCGAAATATGTATCCAATCAAAAAGTAAAATAGGAGGTCACAATGTCACTATGTAACAACGATTCTGTGAAAGTCTCAACTGTTTTTTCAAGTGGGGGGTATAAAAGATATGAACCATTACTCATATAAAATACTCATAGGTGTGTTGTGGGAATTGAAATTTCAAAGTTATCTCTCTTTGATTGTAATGTTTTCCAGACTTAAACGTGAGCAGGCAGATGCAGAGAGAGATGATGAAGAGAGGAAAGAAGAAGAGAGATTGAGGAGGCAGAAAATTGAGGAAGAGAAGGAGAGAAGAAGAAAGGAAGAATACCAGAGGAAACTGGAAGAAATGAAGAGAAGACAGGCGGAAGAAGAAAAGAGACGTCATGGTTAGTAGATTGGGGTTTATCATGCTAATGGACAGAATTGGGATAAATCAAGCAAATTAGATACTTTGAATGACCTCTTACTTGAATTAGGGCAAAAAAATTTATCGGGGTGCCACAAATTATGAGATTAAAGGTAGAACTACATTGTATCTTGATTATTTGAAGATATTTTAGAGATGAGAGAGGTCTTCGACAAAGATATTTGTCAGAGAGAGAACTCTAAGTCAGTCATTTAAACATTCAAGGAAATTAATCTTCTAGATAAAATTCTGCTGTTTTGAATTAATGGACAAAATCAGCACCCTCTCTCAATGGTGAAATTCCAATTTCTACATTCATTATCATGAATGAATATTTTATTATTTTTACAGAGGAGATGTTGAGGAAGCAGGAAGAAGAAGAAGAGCAGAGGAGGATTGAGGCTGAGAAGATGGCTGCCATGGAAGAGGAAGAGAGGAGGCAGTATGAGCTTCAGAAGAAACTGGAGGAAGAGGAGAGGCTGAGAAAAGAAGAGGAGGAGAGGTGAGATATGTTACAATAATGTGTTAGGAGGAAGGAATATTTTTAACCAACTACAGTCAAACCTTGTTATCTCAAACTTGATGGGACCGAGAAAAAACTTCGAGATATCCAAGGGTTCGAGATATCAAGGGTAAAATACTAAAGAAATATGTGGTTAGGACTTCCCAATCACTTCGACATATCCATGGTATTCAAGATATCCATGTTTGAGATACCAAAGATCAACTGTTTTATTCATGACTTACCGGTATTCGTAATTTGTCAGTTTGAAGTCTATCCATGACTGAAGAAAAAATTCTGCAAATACACAATTCCAAAAAAAGATTTGTGGTAACAAATATTTGTCACGACCATATATAGTGAATTCACATTGTACACGTTTCTCATGTTTGGTTACACGATATGTTCAGGGAAGTTTTTAATACAAAACTTACCTAGGGTTACTAAAGTTTTCTGATTAACATAAATGCTTGTGGAAAATAATGAAAGTTTAATATTTCTATATTGAGATCTTTTAAAATTTGTAATAAAAGATATTAATTTTGTTCTTTTTTAACCTGTATCAATACAAAATGAGTTCATTATACCCATGAATACATTACATCAGAGTTCATTATAACTGTAAAATTTTACAGGGAACTGTTAAGAATTTTGCCATGTTTCCCAAAATACTTCACTATATCCATAAAATAACAATGTCCGAGTTTTTACTAAACGAGTTTTACTGTAATCAGTAGAATTTGCACCTCTGGCCACATACATCATATAGCTAAAACAGACAATCCAATCATCAAATTTTTCCAATTAGATAAAGATTACAGCATTTAATATACCTGGTACATGTATATTTTTTCAAATCTGATTCTTATATTTCTTATGCCCTAACCTCTTGACATCTTTTCAGAATTCGTCGTGAAGAGGAAGCTAAGAAAGCTATGGAGGAGGCTCGTCGCTTGGCTGAAGAAATGGCTAGGAAACAAGCAGAAATGGAGGCCAGACTCAAATTCAACCGTACACTTCAGGTTGAGGCTCGTGGCTTAGAACATTCTCAGGACATCACACGAGCATTTGTTTTCTCATACTTTGAACTGCTCCAGTGGCTTGGTCTAGACATACCAGAATTTGAATTGTTGAAATTGAATCAGTATTGAAATGAAAGGCACATGTTGTTTTTTATGGATCTAATTTTACAAAGTAACAGTATTGCTGAAGGAGCTTTCTATGAAGTTAATTTTTCATTAAGATGACTAGTCCTATAACTGTTTCAGCTTAAGGGAGTTCTTAGTCTTTCACTTTATATGTATCTTTTTCTGACCTATTTTTGAAAAAATATTTTCTTGACTTTGCCCTTCAAATTGTATTTTTATATTTATTTACATGAAATATGTAATGCTATGTTGCACCTGCTAATTTATTTTAAGAGTTCCAATTTCATTCCTGTAAATCATATTTATTAGAGTAAGTAAAATATACATGAAATTTATGAGAGAAAAAATTGAACATCCACAAAGCAGGAACTGTATTTCCAAATAAGGAGAAATGTCCAAAGAAACTTTACACCCACACAAAAAAATTACAATAATAGGCACTGGATATTTATCCACTTCAAAAAATAAAAGATGTGCTTCATAAAGAACATCCACATTACAAAGCATGTTCACGTATCAGGACCTGTATTACCACAATAAGATAAACTATTTTTAGATGTTACTAAGTATGAGGTATTTGGTGCAAAATCCTCCAACAGAATATGTAGTTACAGAATATGTACTTGTAATCCCAAAATCATTTGTTATCATAGATAGTAACAGAACAAGTTTATTTTTGATAGACTAGTCAGTGAGTACCAACTGCTAGTATTAGAACAAATTAGTTTTTGTATTTTCTTTCCAAAGTACTTAATTTTTATAGCAGTATTGACTATATAAAGGTATTTACAGTATACATGTACCATTAAAAAAATTTGGCAGTATTTTCTGATCAGAATATATTTTCTCTCTTATGCTCTATTTTACTATTAATTTATAGAAATTACGTACACTTTATTCTGTATTGAACAACGAGATATGAGTTCATAAATTATTATTTTCCAGTAGAATGGAAAAGGGGATACATTTACGCTATATTTAAAGTATCATTTTTACATCATCCTTATTTTAGCATCTAGTTTATTAATCACATCAATAAAATCATTCTAATTCCATTTTCAGGATTTTTAAATGTTATGTAATTTTTTGGAACAATTTTGTTTGATATGACCACCTTTTAATATTGTTGACCACCACCTGAATTTGCTGACCACCTATTTGCTGGTCACTACTGTTTGCAGCACCACCGATGTCCTGCCAGTTGATGTATCTGTGATGTATTGAAATTTTAATGTACTGTGATATCATGTTTATTTATACTCATATTTTCAGTGAAATAAAATAATTTACACAACTTATTATTAATTAATATGTAATCAAGTGAAAAGATATTAAAGTTGTTATCTGCAGTTTTGTAGACCTATGATTTTTGCTCTTTAAAGTAAAAAAAACTTAACAAAAAATTAGGTAAATAAATGTGTGGTTTTTCTCAGTTTTACATGTCGAAAGATTCACCTACATTTCTAAAACTTTTGACATTTGTTGGCAAACATTTTAAAGAACAACATGCAATTAACATATTATTTTTAAAAATGGGTCAATTTATAATTTTGTTTGCATTCTGGCATACTAGATCCCTCTTAGTTTCTTGTACATAATGAAGGAAATAGTGCATTTTATATCTACCAAAATTTAAATGACTGCCTTTGAACTTTTGTAATTAACTGCCGTATAGTACTTTAACATTGACGAACTGTCAAGAGGAAAACCATTGCATTGAAACTAAATTGGGGTCTGATTTCCTTTTTTTCCAATGCTTCACTAAATATCTTGAATATTTTAGCCTGGTTGTAGTTCTTTTGATGTGGATCGACATGAAATGGTGAATCATTGATAGGGTTGAGGAGGGGGAAGCTATACCTAAAGCAACGCGATAATTACTAATTATCCCAGGGAAACACGAGAAAGCAGAGATTTCAAACATTCGATCAATGCAGGTTAAATTGCATTTACCCTTTTTGAGAGAAGATGTCAATTATCAGTTGTTTTTTTCAGTATCAGGAACTCTGTTGATACTCTTGGCAATAACGTAAGATTATTTGGGGGAGGGGGGGGGGCTCCCAAAGTACACGTGACCTCGAATAGAAGTTTTTCTATATACCAGAACGTTGTGCCAGTTTGCATCAAAGTACAAGTATTATAAAAATAAATGTTATTATCAATTGTAACTTGTTCAGGGAAATTATAAAGTTCATCTTCTAATCTGTCTGAGCTTTTGTGCGTGCAGATTGTTAATTTGCTTGGTAGATTTAAAGGCAGAGTTAATAATCCATTAATTTTCTGATAGAGAATGCATGCTTCAAATCCTCAAGTTCCCACCATCTAGCGATAAAGTTTTTACGTCATAGTATTCAAAACTTACACGTGCTACATACGATAGTCGCGAAATATACAATATATAGTTCAATTAACTTTGAGAAAATCTCGACATTCTATTTTTTCGCATTTGGACGGAAGTAAACGATAGGTATAGGTAAATGAACATTTTTTAAGTCGTAAAACACCAGCTCTAGGCATCTGGAACATAACAACTGGCATCAAAAGGATGCTTGGATTTATTGCTGAAGAGGAAATCTAGACAATGCTGTTCTTAAAGCAATAATAGCTACGGAGAAGAACCATAAAACTATGCACGTTGAGGCGATCTTAAGTGTAATCTGTCTATTATAGTTCACTTGTTTAAATGAAACATCCCATCACGTTACTGTCTTTCAAACAATATTCTGTCATTCATCATGCCTTTGTTAGACTTCGTACCAGCCAATGTGAGAAAGTTTACCATACTTAAACAATCTACATCAAAATGCAAATATTGATTGTTGTTCAACGTCTCATCGAGAATATTACTTTTATTTTTAAAGATATATACATGTATGTATAAATTTGGCCACTTATGGATAATTCAGCTCTTTAATCAACACCGTAATGTCAAAGGGGGGGGGGGGTTGACAAAATGAATGCTTTCTCAACCTGGCTCACCAAAAAATCTATGAGTAGTGTCCAGGCGAGCCCCCTTTCAATGGATGTGTTCTAAACAAGGACTTTAACTAAAAATAAATGTATGTTAATTGGTTGTTTTTTTTTTTGTTTGTTTGTTTTTTTGAATTGGCAAAATAGCTGTCACACAAGACTTTCTGATCTGGGTGACTAGCGAGCTGTGTGCCAGGTGAACGTGCCTTAAATGTAATGTTGGAATCAACGCTTCTAATGGATTAGATGTGTCAGCTTAATACGACAGAGTATCTCATTATCCGGTCCCTCTACAAAATCAGGCTCAGGGTGGCAGCGTCAGGATCAATACACGACCATCTTATCTCCTCCAATAAATGCCATGACTCACTGCAACACACAATGTGCTCTGCAAACTAAATAAATATATTCTGTTCAATAAGAAAAATAAATCGATAGTAATTGAAAGAACACATGGAATATTGTATTTGATTAACTTTAAGGTGTAGAGAACAGGTATGGGATGGGTCAATCGAACGAAATTTCGTACAATATTTGTGGTATGTTGATTATGAAATCATGTTGCGCAGTCAAAATATAAGTACCATAAACTCATGAGCACTTAAGTATATTTACTTATTACCGTGCACCTCCCATATATTCAATTAACAACGCTCATAGGCTCTGCTTCACCGAGACGATCTACTCCAAGGCAGGCGGGGGAGGACAACTCAGTATATCGGAATATACCTGGGGCTGTGACGCCAGGTGATTCTGGGATAAGCAACAGGGACATGGTATTTACTTTGAGAGTTTGTAAACACAGGTGGCAAGTTATACCCTGTCCTTGTAAAATGCGTCAACTTAACCAGTTTTAAATACAAGTACAAATAATCCTGACGTGTTTCCTTTTTTCTCGTAATCCCTGTTATCTTTGTGGATTAAAATCGCTACTGATTTTGTCATTAATGCCCTGGGCACACCAAGGCATAATCATGAAGTCAATATCAATTGTAGAAAAGAAAAAAAAAATCGTCAATATTTAGGAAAAAGAAAGAATTCCAACCTTTTGATGAAAACAAAATTGTCTAAATTCAACCACATTTATTAATTTTAAATTCACTTCTCCTAAAAGTAATGTCATATTGTAATTTTTGAATTTACTGGGTGGTAGTAAGTAATTTTGTAATTTTTGTATTTACTAACACCCAGTAAATTCATTTACAATATGACTGTAACGTGTATATACCGGTATCACAATTATTCCAGTCAATTTTACAAATTCATTTTGACCGAAAATTGACCGCCAATCCCTCTATTCGATACAATTTTTATCAAAAAGGCCAAAATTTACCGGGTACCATCAGCCCGTTTTGCTTTAGCTGGCACTGAAACCATCACCTGGAGTGAACCGTAGTTCACCAAGCAACCTGATCCAACCAGGATCATTACCCATAACCTTGCGGCTTTTCACGGGAATCTGATAGCTCTGTTCCGGCCATGTACGCAAAATAGATTCTTTCTTGCTTCGCTGAAAAAGAATGATGCCAAAAATAACATTTTGCAGACAGGATATGTTTTTTTTTTATTTCGTGGAGGGAAACTGATCTGTATTATCTACACAATGACGCAGAATTTAATGAGTTCCTTTTCATGCATTATGAAAAAATATTACATTGATAACATCGGCCATTGGTAAAAATGCAAGTCAAAGAACACTAGTCTGAAAATATACACATCATGGATACTTTTTTTAATTTCAATTCCCCAGCATGACTGACATTTCAAAGACACTGACAACAGTTCGTATGTTTGTTTGCCGTAATTTATTTTCAAACAATAACAAAATACATCTGCTGACCACAGAATTGAGTAAGTACTGATTAATTTATTGTATTGCAAATATTGATAATACACTCCAACAAAGTCTTTTTAAGTAAAACTGAATGCTCGAAAAATAATAAAAATTTTACAAGATGAAATTGTCAAAAGTGGTACAAAAGTACGTATGCACCATAGTCGTAAACCACTAGTCCAAAATGTACGATCCTCTCCCATGAGCAGACTCCGGACCGTGGCTTGAGACGATGTTCATGCGTCTGAACTAAAACAACCGATACGATCCATAGAAATTTCGTCTTGAACTGATATTTCATTACCTAGATAGACAGTGGAGCACATTGGTGTTATTATATGTTAGAATCACAAGCACTTGTTTCTGTATTTTTTTTTAACTCCATCGTATAATATTAAACCAGAACCCCTGTTATGGGAACCACAAGTTTTAAAAAGTTTGTAAGAAGCACCCTTGCTCATCATAACTATGCACTTTGTGTATCTGCTCAACATTAAGGAGCAGACAGGATTATTTATTAGAATTAATGCAGTTTCACTATATTATCAATAGAGCCCTACCCTAACACGAGAACATCTGACCCAGAAGCCAAGAAACTCACAATTCTGGAAGAAGCACTCTTGCTCATCATAACTACACATGTAGTTTCTTTGCTTTATAACCAGGAGCAGAAAAGAATATTTTTAAAGAAATAATGCTTTTTCACTATATGATCAATAGAGCCCCCTTGGGGCCATGAATTTCACAATTTTGGAAGAGGTATCATTGCTTATCATGATGATGCACTTAGTTTGTTTAAATAATACCTAGGAGTAGATAAGATGAATTTCAAAGAATGAATGAATATTCACTATATAATCAATAGAGTCCCGTCCTAACACCAAAACCCCTGACCCAGGGGCCATGAATTTCATAATTTTGGAAGAGGCACCCATGCTCATCATAACTTCATGTATGTATTTAGCTAGTCTGTATAATACCCAGGAGCGGAGGAGAAGATTTTCAAAGAATTAATGCATTTTCACTATATAATCAATAGAGCCTCGCCCTATCACCAAATCTCCTGACCAAGGGGCTATGAATTTCATAATTTTGGAAGAGGCATCCTTGCTCATTATAACAATGTATTTAGCTAGTCTGTTTAATACCCAGGAGCAGAGAAGAAGATTTTCAAAGAATTAATGCATTTTCACTATATAATCAATAGAGCCCAGCCCTTACACCAAAACTCCTGGCCCAGGGGCCATGAAATTAACAATTTTGGAAGAGACACCCTTGCTCATCATAACTATGTACTTTGTTAGTTTGTTTAATATCCAGGAGCAAAGAAGAAGATTTTCAAAGAATAATGATTTTTCACTATATAATAAATATAACCCCCCTTTCACCAGAACCTCCAACCCTGGGACCACGAATTTCACAATGCTTATTACAATCATGTCAACAGTTTGTCTGCTTGATGTCCAGGAGTAAAGAAGAAGATTTTTAAA